TTAAAATAGAATTAATTGGATATGAAAACGCTCTTGCAGCCAAGAATGACCGCAAGAGCGTCCTAACGCAGCATTGCACCTGGAAAAACTGCCGAAATTTATTACCGGCGAAATGCGTTTTATCCGTTTATAGACCATGCATAACCAAACTAGATGCTCGTTTCAAACCACATGAGGACGCTATAGAAGGCATTCAACTGCTTCTACCCAAGAAAACTAAAACTGATGACAAAACAAAGTCTGAAAAAAGTAGCAATAACCTTTCTAGGCGAAAGAGAAGGAAACACATTTCTTAGTGAATATGACATATGGAGCAAGCACTGGGAATCAATATCCGAAAAACCGGTCACTGTTCTCGAAACTCTCGATCAGTGCGATCAACAGTTTTTCCCTCTGACAAGAACGTTGCTGGGTATTTTGGCAACACTTCCGGTTTCCACCGCGACACCAGAAAGAAGTTTCTCCACTCTAAAGAGATTAAAAACATATCTCAGAAATAAGATGGGAGATGAGAGACTGACTGGACTTGCTCTTCTGAGTGTGCATCGTGACTTGGCGGTGCAATTGGATTCCGACGAAATTGTAAATAAGTTATCAACAAGGCGCAAAAGATTAAATTTATTACTTTAAGCAATTAACATTTTTCGATACTCTCTGATCATTGTTTTCCTTACAATAAACAAATATTTTACACACCTGTATGATTGCTGAAATATTAGTAGCTTATATTACATATATACTATATATAAATATAATGGAAATTCTCGAGCCCCCCCCCCCATGTAAAAGCTATAGCTACATCCGTGACTGCAGATTTCCCTGTTGACAAAAATAACGAACTCGTCGCGCTCTACGCGGATGATACGGCCATTATAACAAAGTCACTTAATACTAACAGGGCAATTGAGCTACTCCAAAATATGCTATACCAAGTTGAGAATTGGTGCTCCAAATGGAGAACAAGACATCACCCGGATAAAAGCCAATTCATGATCATTAACAGAAAAATTAAAGCAAATAAACCTAATATTATTGTGTCACTTAATTTGAATTTTGTAACAAAATTGTGACCTAAAAATTAGGCCGACCCCTCGCCTCTTACGCCTTTCTGTCTGTCGTCCTTCACGGCTTTGCCCTTCGGCGGCCTTTGATGTAAGCACATGGATGATGGTCGGAGGTGGTCGCAGTTAGTTCATAATTGTGATTTTATTTAAGTTGTTTATCAGTTCACTTCGGTTCTCTCTTAGCCACGATTCTCGCTGCGTTTTAGGAAATTTCACTTCAATTTTTAACCTAACGATATAAATAACCGCCCATTTTTTGGAGCGGGACATGCGAAACTTGATGATGAAAACAACACTACGATCCCTTAACAGGGGTTTATTTTATTTCTTCCACCCCCCTCCTTTCCTTTTTATCATGGCGTTTTTTCCCCGCCATTGCAACTATCTCAACATGCTACAAGAATGATCCTGTTTTTTTCGCACTGAGGAAATATTCAATAACTCAAATTTGACCGTTTTGTTTTTCTATGGAACTACACTCAGATTGCCTTGATTTTCAAAAGAGTAAACTTCATTGCTCCTCAACTTAACATGCAAAGTTCCAGTTCTTTTCGAAGTTCGTCATTATGGATGACAACGCTCGCAATTTATCGCCCCAGCCTTTCTATTTCCAATTTACAAAATTGGGCCATCCCCAGATCCTCTACCTGTCACCATCATGAAAATAGTTGATAACCGTATGCATCCTGAATACTGTCCAGTGTGATTAAATGTTCATCTATGGTTGTTTTTTCTATTTTAAGAATAAAACCCTCTGATACTCCTCAAAATAAAGAAAATCTTTAGTGAACTACAAACGTGTTTTTATGACCACTAAAAACTCTTCTCTGTGCAAAATTGGATTTTTCTTTTTAGAGGTGCAGCTATTTCATTATTATTGTGTTCGCCCACAGGTATGTCTTTTTTTTAATCACCGTAATTTTATGTCATATTTAAAATGTAGTTTTTTTTATTAGAAGGCTCTTATTGCTTACTTCATGTCTGCCACTATAGCGATAAATCATGAGCCATCATACATTGTTTAAAACCTATATAGATTTGTTCGGCCATACTCTTCTCTCCATTTTTCTAAATTTTATCATTAGTAGTTTTTTTTATATATTTTCAATACTATAGCACCCACCCACGTAACATATGGTACCGATGACCAGTCGAAATTTTTTTGGGTTGTTGCTGTACTTTTTGATAAGAATGGGTTTTTTTAAAAATAAAAAAAATGAATTAAAAATTTAATAATGCAAAAAATTTAATAATGCAACAAATTTAATAGTCAATGAATTTGTAACTTCGATTTGTTACTCAATACTATATATTTGAGTTTTATTTTCAATTGATCAGTTATTTTAAATTTTTATATAATGTGACATTGTGTCACTTAATTTGAATTTTGTAACAAAATTGTGACCTAAAAATTAGGCCGACCCCTCGCCTCTGACGCCTTTCTGTCTGTCGTCCTTTGGTAGTAAACATCATAGTTCTTGAAATATTTCATTATTTTCCGAGCATAATTTTAAAATTTTTATAAAATTAATTATAAAATTTTTTTGGGTTGTTGTTGTACTTTTTGATAAGAATGGGTTTTTTATAAAAAAAAAAATGAATGAAAAATTTAATTAATATGCAACAAATTTAATAATCAATGAATTTGTAACTTCGATCTGTTACTCAATACTATATATTTGAGTTTTATTTTCAATTGATCAGTTATTTTAAATTTTTATATAATGTGACATTGTGTCACTTAATTTGAATTTTGTAACAAAATTGTGACCTAAAAATTAGGCCGACCCCTNATTATTAATTGTTAGCTTATTTTTCTGATAGTTATCCTTTGTTAATTTGTTTTTATAACTATTAATTGCATAGCTTTTATTTCCATTTGAAAGTTAATATTTAGCTTGCTTTCCTTTGTTGATTACTAATTTTAATGGTCATTGAATTTCCTACATATTTCAACATTTTTTTAAATTGTCAAAGACAATTTAAACACTTCTATCTTATTTTAAGATTGTCAGAGACAAGACAATCACCGACAAAGATGTTCATGCTGTTAAAGCGTGGAAAATTTTTTAAATGTATATATATACAGGGTTATTCATAATTCCCTCTGGGGTTTCGAAGCGTTATAGTAAAAAAAGGAAGACGAATATGAAGACAAAGAAACATATGAAATTATTCCGAAACTATTCATGTTTTACTTACATATATTACAGATGTTCTATGTGTGAACTCTTGGTCACACGGCATACATCAATGCGATAGTCCAGTTCCTGCCCGGAGGGAATTATGAATAACCCTGTATATATAAATATTATACATATATATACACTTTTCTTTAATTTAAACTTAACTCGTAATAAAAAAAAGTATTATAATTTTTATTTCCACGTTTCTAATATTTGGCGGCACATTTTAAGAATTTGGCGGCACACAAAAGTGCCGCGGCACAGTGGTTGAGAATCACTGTGCTAAACTGATGTATTCTATACTTAGTTTCTTATCTTAATTGTTATTAAAATGGAATCTTACGCATATAAAATTTTATTTTACTTAGTTAATCATACGATTTCTCAAAGGTTGCGACCAATCCTCGACGTAAATGGACATAAGACTGCTGATCCGATTGGGCGAAAAGAATGGAGATGGGAGTTAGAGAATACACCGAATAATTCATAAACAGAACCGTGCTGCTCCAGGCACCGTTATGTCTCAGCTTACTTGTAGAAATGTAAAAGGGAGAGCCAAAAACACACATAGGCCGGCGTATCATAATGAAAGTTCACCTGAACGCTAGCCAGAGGGGATCATAAGATCACATCTGCGGGTCTTGTTACCTGCACTGTTACAGCGGGATGAGTTTAAAATGTAAAAAAAAATTTATGAGTGTAATTTTTACTGTTTTTAAGAATCTAAGACATACTAATTAAATTTTTAAACCATTTTCTTCCAGAACTTTCAGGAAAGGTAACTGTTAAAAATAATTAAAACTAGAAGAAATATGAAAAATGATAAAGATCACTAGGGCACCTCGGGAGCGTGATTCCCGTATTTACTTCATGAAAGTAAACCCCTTGAGGAACTTTTCAAAATTTCTTGAACCATAAACAGAATTCAGAGTCGGACAAATTAAAGGAAAAGTGTAGTTGCAGTTTGGAAATGGCACCAAAATGTTAGTTACAATAGCGATCAAAAACCGAATCCTTAGTTGCGTTATTTCAGGGTTTGGATTGTTCAATCATACTATAAAAATTTATTGAAGGCAATTGTAAACTTGTCATAAATACAACTTGATAAAGCATTATTTTTTAAGAAATATGAATTATCATAAAAATATTGAAAAACTCCTGAATGATATAAAAATTTAAAAACAAAAATAACTAAGATTAAATATTTAAGATGAATTTTTATTATTAATTTAATCTTTTAGTTAAGGAGTAACTTAGGAGCAATTATTCACCAACAAGTACAATATGTAAAGCAATGTAAACCTATTAATGAGAAATAATTCTTTACAAAGTTTTTTCTTTCTAAAGGAAAAATAAATTTTATCAAAAAATTCCCCCCCCCCCGTTTTTTCAGATTTCCCTTTCATTATTATTCGAAATTACATTTTCTACATTGCATTAAATTCTTTAACTTCTTCAATTGTCCCAGATATTGCATATTACATTTATTATTGCATAAATTTTTAATCCTATAGTATGTTTTACACTTCAATAACACACATTGTTCTATTTTAGATAACAAAGTAGTTAAAAGTTTTTTTAAAATATATAACCATACATATTCTAGCCATCAAGATAACACAGTTGACCTTTTTTAGAAAATAAACTGCAATTCCAAAATAAGCTACATTTTAATGCATTTTTGCTTCAAGTTAATTCAAAGTATTTTGATAAGGCAAAAAAATAATATAACTTCAAAAAACGGAACAAATTAGTAAAATTATAAATTTTATTTTGAAACTTCCAAGAAATGTTTCAATAGTATACACAGACGATACAATAATATACACCTAAGTACTAATAAACTAAATTTTAACTATGAAGTCAAAACTACATGCATAAGAACAATATTATACAGCAATGATTAATCAAAAAATATATATTTAATGTTTAAAAAAAAATTAAATGTGCTTTACTCTTGGAATACAAAGCAAAGAAAATTATTTTTGTAAAATTAACTTACAGAAAGAGATAAATTCAACAAAAGCAAAACATCACAGAATAGATAGATAAGCAATAATTTATCAGACAAGCTGAAAAATGACAATGTTTTACTTAATATTTCACCCCACAAGAATTGAAATATATTATATTGAGCTATATAACACATTTGTGCTTATAGCAAATACATCAACATCTATTACATAAACAGTCTTCAAAAGGAACATATCAACTACTAAGGTCACATGACCTTCAGTGGGACAAAGTATACATAGGTCACATAATAATAAAGCATACTAAATTGTATGCCTTTAAAGCCTTCAAGATATTTCTGATAACTATGACATAGTTATGAAAAAGAGGTAGCTTTTTAAGAATATCTCTTTACAAAACACTAGTTAACTTAGGTTCATAATTTACAGTAAACTATTAATTTCCCGTCACTTAATACAGTGTACAAACTGATTTAACTTTAAAATTTTAATTTTATACTTGGGAAATCTAAAGTAGTAGAAACTTATTTTTCTAACAATAACTATGCAGTTAAATGGCCAATCAGAACAAAATATACTGAAATAACATTAATGTGAAAGTAAAGCTGAACACTATATCACGAAATCTCGATAGTTTCAACTATTGCCATAATCCTACTTAATACTCTCACGATATTAAATATCACGCTATATTATCACGATTAAAATTTACAACGCATAAAAGTAAAACACCAGTTCTTCAAACAATAATTAGCGATATTAAATTTTCATAACACCCAATGCTAGTCAATGCTAAACAAACTTTCCGTCTTTAACGTTACTGATTACAGTTAAAATATTGAAGAACAAAAACTATCCTCTGGAGGCAGACTTAAAAACAATTTGTTTTGATATTTAACTTTGGAATTCTCTTTTTTGTATGTTTTACACTATTTTCCTTAATTAATTTCTAAAAAGATTGCCGATCACCGAAGATAAAATATAAATATAGAAACAATAAGTTTTCATGCAAAACCATGTTAAAAAGAGAAGAAAAAAGTTCTTACAGTAAGTTTACTTAACATTTTAAATAAGACTTTTAGCACGCTAAAGCTTGTTTTTCTGGTCCATTGGTTTTATCAGCTATAAGCTAACCTAACAAACAAAGACTATTAGATGCATAAATAGGCAAAAATCATATTTTAAAAAGAAATTACCAAAGGATAAGGATTCTAAACTCCAGAAGTCAATTTTTTACCAAGAATAATTAAAGTAGAAGTTGTAAAGATAATTCTCACACTCCATTCATTAACAAAATTTGAATTATTCATATGCAATAAAAAAGTTGCTCACATTTCGATGAAACCATGATTACTGTGACAGAAAACAAAGAGTTTACTGAATCAATACATTTGAGGTAAGAAATACACAGGGATGATATTTATTTAATAGCTTCAATTTTTTTGATTAGGGGATTTAGGGGTCACAGAACTTAATTTCATCCCTGAAAAACTGTCAGATTCTTCTTTAAAATTCACCAGAAGAATGAACTAGACATACATATACACATTAATACATAGTATATTTAACATGCTATATTAGCACCGATTATGATTTATTATTCTTTGTGGACTGTATGCTTGGAAACATATCTATCATCTCATTAACAAACACATGAGACAATAATTCATGCTCCTAAAATATCAACAGATTAGGGAAGGGAAGCTCATTGTGAAAGAACAGAACAAAGTACAGCTAAATCACTAAGAGTATAGAGTATAAGTTGGAAAGCTCAATTCAAATGCTGGCAGGCTCAAGAAACATACGAAATCTTGAATAACATACATTTATAAACATACAATGGTAATTGCAACATTTCAAAGCTTATGTAACAACAAACATTTAGCCATAAATTTTGTGTAAGCTCAAAAGTTTCACAAAAAAATTAGCATCAAATCAAATCAATGAAAGAAAAAATTTTTAAATTGGATTTCAGCTATTATAAAGCAATTATTATTAAATTAAATTATTAAGGCAATTATTAAAGATATTAGTATACGGCTGTGGATAAGTAAGCATAAAAAATAAGATAGCAAAAATTCTCAAAATGAACAATTCATTAAATTAAAAGCACATAAGTAACAAAATATTCTTATCACAAAAAAGAGACCAATTCATTTCCTATGCAACAGTACATAACACATTATACACAAATTTCTGACACGGTAATTGCTATGCAATAAAATAACTTACTTTGTTTGACAATGAATTTTATATTATTTTCCATTAAAAACAAATCCTTATCTTTTCAGTGATAAAAATTATAATGGGTGTTCAAAAAGTATGGGAACTGTCAAATATTTGAGAAAGCACCATGGGTTAAAACTATAACAAGCATGTCAAATACTTCTTCAGGTGAAATAAGTGCTTTTCCAGGCCCACATGCTCAGAGTTTAAATGTAATAATACAAGATATAATATGAAAGTATCATTCAAAAATTATGTGGGAAGATTCATGCCCACATAATTTTTGGCCATTAAAGTGAGAAATGCTACACTGATTTTTAATTATTTAAGTTTTGGTCTTACAGATCTGTTTAGCAGACGATGTTGTAATCAACAAAAATAAAAATGAATGCGGTTGATATATATTTTTTTAAATTCATTGATTAATACCAAATCAATAGAATTGCCAAATTTATTGCATACTTGGATTTTGCATAGAAAAACAAAATCTGATTTCTAAATGACGATTTTTGGATTTTAACAACAAAACAATGATACAACATTAAAAAAGATTAAATGATAAAACTACTTTGCTTCAAATTCAAGCCCTTCCTTCCTTTCTGCAAAGGATGGAGGTAAAGTTTCGTGTCACTAGCCAGATTTTTTCTTCATTTTAAACATCAAATCTGTCTATTTTGTCCTGCCCTACCAGTAGTGCATTTCTGAAAATATATCCATTTTAAGCACCGTCTAAGAGAAAAAATTAAAAACTTAAGACAATTTTCTTCCCAGAAGACCACGAATCTGTAATGATAAAATGGGAAGGGGATTTAATTCAAGAATTAGGAGTTGCCCATACTCTCAGGAGATGCAGATTGGATTGATTTCTATAGCATTGAGTAGATCATTTGAAGATACTTGACACCTTAAGATTTTTGATCTGATGCATATTTCTTGAGGTATGCATTTGACAGTTTCCATATTTTTCAGACATCCTGTACAAATCACCATTCAATGCCTTTGGTGTAAAAAGAATAACTTACATTTATCTTTTTACAACAAAATGAAATGTTCTTTAAAATATTCAATTAAAAACTTAAGAGCAAAGTAGGCAATGTCTTAATGAAATTGCACAACTTAAAAAGGCTCAAAGAAATTTGGCACTGATTAAGTACTGTTATTTGGTGGTTAAGACTTTCAATGAAATGGTCTATGAACACGAATGGTAGAGAAACATCTAATGGCTACACTCGGTTACATTAAAGAAAATTAATACTCAACCATAGCGCCAGTAATTTACACCATGTGCTAAGTCTTATGGTTCTAACTACATGTCCTTAAAATAATACTGCAGCATTATAATTTTCTCTTTTAACTATAATTTAAAGCTAGTTAAACCTTGATCTTTATTTCCTTTCTTCCACATCATAAGCTGGTTACTTTGATGCAGTAAGAACATTCTACCTATGTTATTCAATAGGTATAATAGGGTACAAACAAAATAAAAATAAAACTATAAACTTTGATTCAGAGATTTAATGCAGAGGATTGAAGAAACTCCAATCTATTCTATCTTAGATATGTCTTGATAATTTATATTAAACTTAGTAGAAATGACATTTTCATTGTTTTATGTAATTATTTACAAAACAATCCCTTTATAATAAAATATTTATAAGTAATTATGATATTTAACCTGAAAATTCATTAGTTTTTCAAAAATATTTTATAGGGAAGACTAGACAACTTATCATGAGCAATTTATAGAATGATTTATTCTTGTTAAGTCAAAAATAAAAATTGCCAACAAATTACTAAAAAACTTAAACGTAAAATTTATATTTTTTTAAGATACGTAATTTGACTTGAAAGGGAGATATTTTTGCTTATTTTGAAAAAAGTTTGTGAACGCAAATTTATTATATTCTGCAGAAACAATAATACTGCTTAGTTATATTTTAAAGGTTTAATTATATTCTTCCATATTGTATAAAGTAATTAGGCATAACAATATTTTTACCTAGAATGTTGAAATACTGAGGGTTATTAATTTTTTTTTCTCAATATTAGTCCTTAGTTCAAAAAATAATATTTATAAGAGACTGCTAAGTTTTAAATTTAACTTCATTAGATCAGAACTAAGATATATTCACACAAATTAAAGAATACGAGATAATAAAATAACTATAGACAGATATCCCCTATATGGTAAATTTATGAAGAAAGGACGAAAAAATTAAATACCTAACTCAAATAAGATGTTTGGTTGAATTAAAGCAGAAATAAACACTTATTAATAAGTAAATTTTTAGTTATATTTTTTATGGTAGCATACACAAGAGGACTTCATTAACATGAATTAGAAGGGAAACAAAGTAAGTTCACATTATGATTTTAACAGTATTTTTACGAAAACTGCAAAATACAAAGATATATTATGTTAACTATACATACTACTTTACGCCTACAAAAAAAGTTATATCTTTAACCTAATACTAAGTCATCTATAATTTCATAAGAAATACAATTAATTAATTTGGAAATTATAAAGATTATTAACTATATAGTGGAAAGAAACAAAATATATTTGTGGTATTTTGTATTAGTGTCTAGATAAAGTTTAAGAATTCTAGTTTCTATATTTTCTCCAGTTTTTAATTCACACAAACAAATAAAAGTAAATCCGTTTATTTCAATGAATGAAGAAATACTATTATTAATTTTCGTCCTCTGTTTTCATTTCTTAACTGCAAGTGCATAATTTTTTAATGAACAATGTAAGGATGGTGTATTTGAGGTACAAAACAAAAAATAAGTCAAAAAATAGATTCAACCTTAGATATTCTGCACCCTATGGTTCTGAAAAGATATACTCAACCTTAAAAGATATTTCTCGTTAAGCCTGTTCACATGAATGAAGTTTGAATGTATATGCTTTCCAAGAGTATCAGGCTAATTTCTGTCAAAGTAATTCTCAGAAACTACAGTTTTCAATTAATGAAGATATTTGGACACATTAAAGTTATAAACCTTGCATTAAAACTGCATCAATAGAAACATACAGAAAATGAAAATACACATTGGTTCAAAAAAGATTTTGTAACAGAATTTTTTTTTTTTTTTTTTAATTTTTCACTAATTTTTGAGAGATTCTTTTGTACTTATGAACAATAAATTAAAATTAATCTTTTAAATTATAAATTTAAACTTTTTTACAGTTATTATTTTTATCTTAATATTTATTGAGATTAAAACTTTCAAGCTGCCTTACCCGTGAGAATCCTTAATTGTAAATAGTTGAAAGTTGTGCGAATCAAGTCAAAGAAACAATTATTTTGACTTCATACAAAACAGCACCGTAAGCTGCTCTAATAATCAAGTAATCATGAAATAGCTCGATTAATAGGCACTATGAAGTTGAGATTTTCATTCAGAATGCATGTATCAATGAGTTGATTGTTGACAGGTTATAATATAGTGACAAAAAAAGTTCCATACATTGATAGATAACAAATATCCTTTGGTTTAAATTCCTTTAACACAATACATAGACTACATCATACATACATCTCACAATTCTAAGGGGAAAAAAACGCACCTAAATTTCACTTTGATAACATAGTATATGACTAAGAATATTACATAGTGGTTATAAGATCATTATCACAGTGTATTTAAAATGAATAGTGAGACAAATGAATTCTTTCTTCCCTTTTGTAAAAATTATCCATGATATCACAACTCATTGTACACTGGTAGCCAAAATGCCTGAAGAAAGAAAAAAAGAAAAGTGTCAAACAAAAAAAAAAATTACTAATTTTCTATTGCACCCTATTGAAACTATCTCACTTCCTTTAAAAGTTTAGATGCAGACATAAGAGTCATTCAGAAAAATACTAATTGATAAACAAGATTTCAAAATAAATTTTTTAAATGTATTAATAATGTAATTAGATTTAAGTCAAAATTATTAAAATTTTCTCTTAAATTTAATTATGTCAAATATAAAGTAATAAATACAAATTCTGTAATTAAAAAGCATTGATCTCTACAAAAATAAAAAAGATTTAGTTCGAAAAAAAAATTTTTTAGTTCAGAACATCAGATTATTTAATTGATCATCATAAACTTTCATGCAATGTATCAATATAAATACAAATAATAATTATAGCAAGTAATAAGAAGTAAGCTGTCAACTGTTCTAATTAAATCAAATTTGCTATTCAATGCTATTGATTTTTAGCATTGTACAAAGATGCGATTTTAGGTCAAAATGCTCTGATATTTCAGTATTTAGCATTTTTACTACTGAATTCTTTCACCCCTAAGTTGCAGGCAACCTGGAAATATAAGAAAAGTAAAAGAATTTGGAAATATTCAGGAAATTCATTGTTAATTGACTGGTGCATGAGAAAATTCTGAAAACACAATTTAAAAATTCAATATTGTGATTCCTGCCCACAATCGCCATTCTCATTCTTAATTTTTCAGGTCTACATTGTTATGCAGGAATAGCCAGGAAAAATAAATCCATTAGTCAGGGAATTTAGAGATAGAGAATCACTAGCTAATCTGAAACAGCTTTGTCAGTAATCAATCAGTTTACAAAGATGAAATCTGAGAGGCTTTCGCATGTAGTATTAGAGATATTGACATTGTCTCGAAGTAATTTGGTCCGTGATCAAATTTTCAGTTTGGTCAGAAAGGACAAAACTGATTTCAGACAGCGATTCGATTAAGACAATTGTTCTAACAAATAAATACAATATGGATAAACCTTGCTATTAATAGTAATTTACATTTTATTTTTATTTATTTTTTTAAATTCTCAACATTGGTAGCATTGCCCAAATGAATTAAGCTGGAGTTTTTGAATTGGATAACCAAGTCTTCATTAATTAGTCTTTAATTTAATTTTATGAGCTAAGCAAAAGTGAGTATTACACATGAATCTGAATTTATACATACCTAAAATTTTGTAAGAACATATTAGTTATTTTGCGTGTTTATGTAAATGTTATGATACATTACAATGCACATAAATGTATACATTGATGTGTTATTTTAACATGTTAAATCATAGCGTTATCTGAAAATGCTTATTGTGCTTTGTGTTCTGATTTTTTTTAACAAGTTGGCAGCTATGCTTTCTATATAAAATCAACTTTCTAAGCACACATACCATTTTAGAAGTAGTAGAAACGAGCAACATGTATTTTGGATTAAACTGGACACAGTGTATAGGGGAAGTCCTTCCAGTCTGCAATATTGCTGTTCGCATGCCAGAATCTGCATTCCATACATAAATTGTACCTTCAGTAGAACCTAGAATTTATGAAACATATTCTTACTCAATATAATAATGCAACTAAATGAAATAGCAAAACTTATTGATTGATTTCCAACATAAGTAAAACAATTTTAACCAGTACAATTTTAATAAAGTTCCAGCTCCGCTAAGGATCTGGCAATTTTACAGCAGATTTATAAGCACTTTTGAGTTTTAGATTTTAATTTAAAACTGTTATAATAAAAATAAATGCATAATCATCAGTTTACATAGAAGTCCTCTATCACCAATTAAAAAAATGGCATGATTAAAATATTGAACAAGGATATATTTAAAATAATGATTTCACTATCCAGCTACAGGGAAAACATGCCTCCATATGTAAATCTTTGAAGACTTAAATGTCCCAATGGTAATGTGAATAAAAAAATTTCATTGTTTCTAAAGAATTAATCATAGATTATTCATTTAATAAAATTATCAAAACACACTATGCTACATAAAGTTAAAAAAAAAATTTTCTATAAATACTAATAAGTGCATTTTAAGAACATAATAAAAATATTAAAATTAGATAAATTACCTGTAAAGATAAACTGCGAGTCTGGGGAGAAGGAAACCTCAAGTGGAATGCCTTTACTATTAGATCGTTCCTGAAAAGAAAAAACAAATATCCATTTTAATATACATAGTACAGTACAGAACCCGTTATCCGGAATTCAGAAAACCGGAAAACCAAAAAACCGGAATGAAATTCAATGAATTTTCCCGCCATTTTAAAAAAATTTATTTTTATTTTTCCTCATAAAATTTTAGGATTTTTCTTTCTCTTTTGAAAGATTTTTACCTTACCATCATTTTGGAAATAATCATTAGTGTATTACTTCATCGTTTTTTCTTCTTTTTAAGATTACTTCCAAAATTTTTTTCTATTAGTTGGGTTTAACAATAAAAAAACGGCTTTTTGTAGCGATTCAGAAAACCGGAAAAATCAGTTATCTGGAATAGCGATGGTCCCGATCGTTCCGGATAATCGGTTCCGTACTGTAATTGTAACTAAACTTTAATGAAACCAGATAAATTAAATATACACTATGGAACCACTTACATTATTAATCGATATTCATATTTAAAGAACTTTTCAGAAACATGAAAATTTAATATTTAAAGGTTAAATATTCTTAACATAAAACCATCATATAGAATCAGATTTTCTTTCAGACCCTACTAATTCTTTTTCATACCATAAGATTTTTTTAATAGAAATTTTTATTTGAATTTATTTTTAAAAAGTTGATCAATTTATACAGCACATTAATTAGAAAACAAACTAGCAATAGAATAAACCATCTGAGATAAGAAAAACTAAAAACTTACAGAAAATGTTTGTATCAATGTTCCTTGGTAAGCATCTAAAAGATGAATATCAGATCCACTGGAACAGAGTAGCAACGTTTTGCCATTAGGGCTATATTTTATACTCATCCAGTCAGAGTCCTTTTTATCCTTAGGAGTAAAAAAGGTGCTAAATGGTCCCTAAATGAATAAAAATATTGTCGTACTTTTGTTTCAAAACAAACTATTTGATGATTGTGAATGAATAATTTCATTGGGCAGAACATTACCTTATCAAATGATCTAATATCATACAATTTGATTCCTTCTAGATTGTCGGCAATTGCAAAACTCAAACCCTCTGGATCAAAACAAGCTACAGGTTTTCCTGTAGTGGCAATTAATCCCTGTAAAATATGTAAAAAAATTTTTTAAATATTTGATTAAAATATTTAAATAATTCCATTTTTTAAATAATAGAATACTTCAGATTAAAGAACTAATTTTAAACTAACCTTATAGAAAGAAGAAAAAAATCGACAATATCAAATTTCATTGAAGATTTGATGCAAATGGTTAAATAATTATCTTTACTTTTACACGGTTGTCTGGATAAGTAATGCTAAAAAATAAATGCCTGGATGCAGTTTTTTCATACCACTTTTTTGAGTGATTTTCGATAAATTTCCCATCGGAAATGAAGCTAGTTAAATTCATAAAATTAGACTTTTCTGTAGCTTAAAAACAAATTTTATAGTATTTTCATTTTAACACAGCTAAAATATTTGGTGATTAGCACAAAAATTCATATTTTGAAAGCATTGCCCTTTTCCCAAATTACTGGACATTAGACTTTTTCTTAATTTTTCTTACAACAAAATTAACATTTATAAAAATATCCTACTAAACTAAACAATTCTTTTTATGTTTATAAATAAGTCAATGTCAGATCAGTTGCCTAATAAACCACCTCTTCTTATATTTTAAGGACATTTGGTGTAATGGACACTCTTGATTAAATAAGTAATTTTACCAATTTTTAGTAAGAACATTTCTCAGTTAAGGGCACATAAAAATCCAAACTTTTCATAAAAAATAACAAATTTGCACGTGTGCATTAGAGAATCAAATTGTCTTGAAAAATAATTTCCTATTAAAACTGATTTTAATAAAGCATTTTCAATGAAATAAACATGTTCAATATAATGTAACTAGTTTACAAATTTTACATATAGACAAAAGCAAACCATTTCATAATATAAGAAATAAAATATACAGTCCAAAAGCATACAGAATAAATTAATCTCGAACGATTGTGAAACCCATTTAATAAAATTACAAATTATGTTTTCTTATTTTAGATACAGTGTAACCACCATCCAGAATTGCACATTTTTTATTTCTTGTACATATCGCCTTATTTTAGTGATTCCGTCACAAGCACTAATCTCAAAAGGTTAATAATACCCAGTTTGATCATTTTGTAAATAGCAGATTTTTATGTTGATCTTCCAGAAATTTTTTTCTAATTAATATAAAAAAAATTTCTATTGTTTCATTTTAAGAATGAAAACAGTAACTCCTGACCTGATGCTAATGATGATGTTGTTGTTGTTCATTTACGTCGCACTAGAGCTGCACAATGGGCTATTGGCGACGGTCTGGGAAACATCCATGAGGATGATCTGAAGACATGCCATCACAATTTTGATCCTCTGCAGAGGGGATGGCACCCCCGCTACGGTAGCCCACCGACCTGCGAGTGAAATCGAGCACTTTACGGTAGCACAGTTTAACGAGGACCAATACCGCACACCCTCGGTCCCTACGCAGACTGATCCAAGTGGGTCACCCACCCGCACACTGACCGCAGCCAGTGATGCTTGACTTCGGTGATCTACTGGGAACCGTGTCTCAATGATCAGTCCACTGCGGGACTGCTAACGATGAAGAAAATAATTTTTTACAATTTGGAGAAAACGCACATTTACATTTATGCATTAGTTCGAAATACTTGTCTGCTCAAAAAATGGTTGCAAAATCCGTAAAAGCGCAAAAATGATACCAGTGAAGACAGCGAAACGAAGCCCTAAACATTTTCAGAAGACAAGAGAAACTTTCTACATTAATGTGGACTTACAGAAAATGAACAGTAAGAGCTAAAAATGTCAAAAATTTCTTGTTTGCGCTGAGAAGAAGAGTGCATGTACAAACCAAAATGTCATATTATTTTAAATAAATTCGCATTCAGTATATAATTTATTTTAACTAAAATATTTTAAACTTACTTCATATTTATTAATTTTCAAGTACATAAATTTTCAAGTCTTGGTATTTTATGTGGACCCGCATTTGTCGTTTTCCCTTATTCATTGTTCACAATGAATAGTGCCATGAGACACGACTGAGATTCTACTGTATTCCTTAACTTAAAAACAAATAAAAATGACACCATCTAAATCTTAACATTTACGAAGAACATTAAAATGTTACCTGGCAATTGGGAGATTTAAGATCCCAGAGTCTCACAGTTTTATCTAAAGATGCTGAGAGAAGAGAATCATCCACAGGAGACATAGACAAGGATGCAACCCTAAAGTAAAAAATTTTTTAGTACGTGAATAAACTAAATCCAAAATTGAAGATGAAATTTATGAAGAAAAAAAAAAATAGGATGAAAATGCTGGTAAAATAAGGAGAGAAAAAAGTATTCTTACACACTTCTTAAGCCAATCGAAGTCGGAGATAAGCTAAGAATTTTCTTCATGGTTTTTCTTTTTAGAGCAATGTATAAAATATTTTTGTAAAAAACTAATTATCTGTCTATGAAATATATTTCTGTATTTTATCAACTTCATCTAATTAAGTGTCTCAATTATCTATCATTATCAAGTTAGATCTTTAATATCTATTTAAATAACTGTTTGGAGCAATATTAAAAAAAAAAAAAAATTTTAAACATTCAAAGAACAAAGAAACTTTCAAGACAAGCTACATTGTGATACACAGAATGGGTAAAAATCAATTTCCCTTCATTTTGTCCTGAAAAATATTAAAGTTCTTTTTTTTTTTTTTAAGCTTCCATTAAAAAAATAATCATAATAAAGTGTATTGTTAATATTTCTCTACAGTTCAAATTTTAACTACAGCTGAAGAATCGTTCAACATCTTCATTTCGATTTCAAATGCATATCTACAACGACTTCTTGGACGTCTTAAATTAAACCTGTCAGAGAAGTTACAAATTATGCAATTATTTTATCAAACATCATCCTAAATAAAGAGGAAAGGTTTTGTATTGAAGGAAAATGTTCAAAATTGATGATGTAAAAAAATCCTATAATGCTGTGTTGACTTTGAAGTGCAAAAATATCCCAAAAAATAAATATAAACTTTTTAGCATTCAAAACTTTAAAAAAAAAAATTTTTTTTGAAAACAATTGGTTAATTTTAAAAACAACTTTTATAGCCACAGGTACTTAACTTACTACTTGCATGTGATGTCCGAACATCAGGATTTTTCAGCAAAAACTTATAACAATTTTTCCTTTTATTTGAAGCATAGTTTTAGAGCCAGTTTAATAGATAATAACAGTAAACAGCAAAGTGATGATTAATGTGCCTTTTAAACTCACTCACACTTTTTTTACACTAAGGATTATATAAAACCCAAAAAATCAAAAGTACAAAGTTATATTTTCTTTGAATAAATATGAAACTATTATACCTAACCAAAGACTAAAATAAAGCAAAAAGAAAAATTAACACAGTTTAAAATAGTAAAATTTATAAATTTTATTATTCAAAATGAAGATTCAGTTAAGTATATAGCTCCATAATAAATATTAATTTGTCAAAAAAAAATAGTTATCACAAAATATTAAGTATGTTATAAAAAAAAAGGCTAGAAAGCTAAAAAATGATAATATGTTAGACATTTTCAAAAAATTAATTTTCAAGCATGCATTTCAAGTTATCCCAAAACAGTGATAAGGTAAAATCTTTAATATATAGTTTGTGGATCTTTTGTTTGTTAATACTCAAGTTTATATAAATTCCGAGAAAAATGTAGGTTGAGGCAAATAATTGTGAAAAGCCCTTCAAAATTATTGAATAACACATTTATGTTAAGCAGTTAAGCATTTAATATTCATTTTATAACCATCAAAATTATTATTCTGTACAAACTAACACTACTTTCCACTTATATTTTTTACCCTTCTTATAGCATATCCTAACAATCAAAAAGAGAAAAATTCATATTTCTTTTTATCTGTAAAAAAAAAAGTAACACAGTTTAGGCATTTTGAACATTGAAAATTTTATAGTTATAATAAAACTTACTTCTTAACATGCCCAGTAAAATATCTGATGTATTTATTATCATGAAGCGACAAATATCGGATTGTATCTATAAATTAAAAACAATGGTATGAGTTAAAAATATTTTACAGACAAAATTTTAAATCAGATACACAATATAAAATTCATTAATTTTCCAAAAAAGAAAAGAAATAGATAAAAATATTTTAATAAATTCAGTCTATATAGCATATGACTGATACATAAAGTTTCGTTAGCTACTCTGTCAATTTAAAATTTAACCATTTGACCAAATTATTAATAAGAAAGAATTTAAGTAAAACTTGAATGCAGAATCAATTTTGTCTTACTCAAAGTTGTTATAAATTATCTAAAAAAATTTGATCTTGCCATATATCCAACGAAATAAGAAAATTGGTAATAAATTGTTTAATTACTAATTTGAATATCATACACTTCAAAAAATTTATTCTTATGAAATATCTGCTTGTATTGAATTATTTTTCTGGAAAAAAAAAGGCCATACAGTTAATAAAAATCCATAGATACTGTTTTTTTTAATTCTTTCTGGAAAGCAGGGTTGGCAGGTTTTTGACATGTGACAGTTAACCGTCACGTCAAAAACCTCACTGTCAAAAATGTCAAAAACCTATAGTCATATGTGAAATTTAATTAATACATAAAATTTATATATTTTTTATAAAGGATAGTGTTTCTAAATATGTTCTAGATAAAATAATTTTAAAATTTTGAAGAAACACTTATATTTTGAATAGTAACCAAAATCTTGTACTTTTGAAAGCTCACATCTTTTGTAATATTATGTATTCATTTTCATGTGTTATTGAAAATCTGCAGTGATATTATTAAGAAATTTATTTATAACCAAATTTAGTGTATAGTATAGATCAGGGGTAGGCAACGCGGCGACCGCGGGCGCCATGGCGCCCTCGATCGATTTTTAATGCGCCCTCGCTGGACTAATGTAAATGTATGATAGCCAGAGCGATTTACTTAACTCTTGTCAAACGGCGATATACAGCAAGTAGTCAGTTGAGTTTAGGATTGGGCATGATTATCTGTAAAATATGCGCCCTCGGTGATTTTTAAATTTATTATTGCGCCCTTAAGGACAAACAGGTTGCCGACCCCTGGTATAGAATATACTAAAAATTAGACATTTTTAAAGATAAACATTAGCAGTTTTGCACATTAGACATCTTTTAAAGAAAAATCTTTTTAATATTCTTTTAAATCTTCTTAATAATCTTTTTAACATAAGACAATACAAATTTAAGTGCTTTCTGTTAAATACACAGAGTAGTTAGTGTCGATTTACAGTATATTCAGCCTATTCATTTACTATGCTGAAAAT